CTCTCCCCAATGACGAGAGAAAAATCACTGTTACTTAATTAAACATCCTGATTAAAAAGCATATTGACTTCATCTTTCTCGTTTTCAACCAATTTATACATTCTTTTAGACTTTCCGGTAGGGATTGGTGCACTTATTGTCTTGATAACGTCCGAATATTTCACACATATAACATCAGGACAACGTTGCCACTGATAAAAGTTTTTTACTTTTTTTCCATGATTGATATTTCAACTTCCATTTCATCCTCATCTACATCGGTATTTTTGCCTACAAACCACTGTTTGGCATACTTGACTGCAACAAACTGATCAACTTCAAAATGTTTTGCGACTTGTTCACTTGTTGCCTCATTAGAGGCTTCATTTCTATCTGCTAAGCTTTCATCTCCAGAATCATTGTCCCCTGGTCGATTTCTCTATTCTACTGTCTCCATGATGCGCAGGTGAACATATCCGGGAAACACATATGGTAGTAACAACTTATCTCTTACTTGTACTTCGGACCTTCCTAACCCTGCAACAGCATGATTTTTCATAGTTCCACAGACTGCCATTACATCTCTTTTATTCAGTCTAACTGCTTTTGACTCACATTGCTCTTTGCTGATGAAAACGAACGTAACATTACTTAGGCTCCATGTCTCTGATTGTGTCCATGCAAAGAAATCTTGCGCACTTTGGATTGTTGGTTTACCAGTGTTAACTGCATCGTCTACCATTCTTTTAGTCACTCCACCTAAACCATCACATGGGACTTTTCCATGACCAGACTATCACATGACTTTTATGTTGTAGTTGTTGTTCCGTTCCTGTTTGTCTGTAATTTATTACAAATGAATGACGGGTTACAGTAAGCTGATTAGATTTTATTTAGACTTTTACAAGCCCAGTTTTCCGCAAAGTCCATTTGAACGATGACATTGTTTTCAGGTAGGTTATCTTTTGGACGTCTGATTTACTCAAACTGTGTCTTAGCACTTGTCACATGAGATTCAAACTCACCCAATTGGTTTTTGGCGTGGTCAATGAACTCTTGCTTTGTCATTTTCTGGTCAACAACTCTTATAACCATTTTCTGCTTTGCTTTCCTTTCTCATCAACAGTTACACGTTTCCACTGGCTTAGTGTTATTTCATCGCTTGTCATTTTCTCTTTTAGATCTTCAAAAAATTCGTCCTTGGTTTCAAGTACCTTGTCTCCATTTACAGACACTTTCTTTTTCATTCCTGGCCGTTTTCAGTAATAGTGGCGCACCCACAGACATGTTAACCTGCTTATGAACGAAGCAAGGAGAATGTACTTTGGGTGTGTTCGACAGAATAAAGCAAGTGACAACTTTTAGGTAGGGTTTTCAGACAAGTAATCAGTTAAAACGCAGGTCTGCTTCTTCTCGTTGTTGTCTTTTTAGCTCACCTGAGCATGCTCAGGGTGAGATTTTAATATCGATGATTGTCCGTCGTCCGTTCACATTTAGTTGTTAACACTCTAGCGGTCGCATTTTTGCCTCAATCATCATCAAACTTGGTCAGGATGCTTATCTTGTCAATAGCTCGGATGAGTTCAAACATGGGTCATCTCGAATGAGAAACTAGGTCACAAGAGCTAAAAGTAGAAAAACCTTGTTAACACTCTAGAGGTCACATTTTTGCCTCAATCATCATCAAACTTTGTCAGGATGTTTGTCTAGATGATAGCTCGGATGAGTTCGAACATGGGTCATCTCGGATGAAAAAGTAGGTCACCGGAGCAAAAAATAGAAAAACCTTGTAAACACTATAGCGGTCACATTTTTGCATCAATCATCATCAAACTTGGTCAAGATGCTTGCCTAGGTGATAGCTTGGATGAGTTTGAACATGGGTCATCTCGGATGAAAAAGTAGGTCACAGGAGCTAAAAATAGAAAAACCTTGTTAACACTCTAGCGTCCACATTTTTGCATCAATTATCATCAAACTTGGTCAGCATGCTTATCTAGTTGATAGCTCGGATAAGTTCGAACATGGGTCATCTCGGATGAAAAAGTAGGTCACAAGAGCTAAAAATAGAAAAACCTTGTTAACACTCTAGAGGTCACATTTTTGCATCAATCATCATCAAACTTGGTCAAGATGCTTGTCTAGCTGATAGCTCGGATGAGTTTGAACATGGGTCATCTCGGATGAAAACGTAGGTCACCGGACCTAAAAAAAGAAAAACGTTGTTAACACTCTAACGGTCACATTTTTGCATCAGTCATCATCTAACTTGATCAAGATGCTTGTCTAGGTGAAAGCTCGGATGAGTTCGAACATGGGTCATCTCATATGAAAAACTAGGTCACCGGAGCTAAAAATAGAAAAACCTTGTTAACACTCTAGAGGTCACAATTTAGCCTCAATCATCATCAAACTTGGTCAGGATGTTTGTCTAGGTGATAGCTAATATGAGTGTGATCATGGGTCATCTCGGATGAAAAAGTAGGTCACCGGACCTAAAAATAGAAAAACGTTGTTAACACTCTAACGGTCACATTTTTGCATCAGTCATCATCAAACTTGATCAAGATGCTTGTCTAGGTGAAAGCTCGGATGAGTTCGAACATGGATCACCTCAGATGAAAAACTAGGTCACCGGAGCTAAAAGTAGAAAAACCATGTTAACACTCTAGAGGTCACAATTTTGCCTCAATCATCATCAAACTTGGACAGGATGTTTGTCTAGGTAATAGCTAATATGAGTTTGAACATGGGTCATCTCGGATGAAAAAGTAGGTCACCGGGACTAAAAATAGAAAAACGTTGTTAACACTCTAGCGGTCACATTTTTGCATCAATCATCATCAAACTTGATCAAGATGCTTGTTTAGATGATAGCTCAGATGAGTTTGAACATGGGTCATCTCGGATGAATAACTAGGTCACAGGAGCTAAAAATAGAAAACCTTGTTAACACTCTAGTGGTCACAATTTTGACTCAATTGTCATCAGTCTTGGTCAGGAAACTTGTCTAGGTCATTGCTGGGAATAAATCGAACATGGGTCATCTCAGATGAAAAACTAGGTCACAGGAGCTAAAAATATAAAAAATCTTGTTAACACTCTAGTGGCTACTGTTGTGATCCAAATATTCTGTTAATTGGTCTGAAAGTTTGTTTTGATGATTTCTAAGTCAAGATCGAACATGGGTCATCTTGGATGAAAAACTAGGTAACACCGCCCAAATATGGGAAAACCTTGTTAACATTCTAGTGGTCACATTTTCGACTCAATTATCATCAAACTTGGTCAGGATGCTTGTCTAGGTAATTGCCTGGATGACTTCGAAATCGCATGAGAAACTAGGTCACCGGAGCTAAAAATAGAAAAATCTTGTTAACACTCTAGTTGCTACTGTTTTGATCCAAGTATCCTTGAAATTGGTCTAACATGGATAATCCTTGTTAACATTGTAGTGGTCACATTTTTGACTCACCTGTCATGAGACTTGGTCAGAATGCTTGTCAAGGTAATTTTTTGGATGAGTTTGATAAGTCAGGTGAGCGATCTAGGGCCATCATGGTCCTCTTGTTTGAGATCCCTTTTACCTGGCATCAATCTACTAATATCGTCTCTTTCTATGAAACATATCACTTTATCTCTGTTATTACGAATTTCCTTTCGGCGTGTTAATGTTTCTATAGATTTTCCTTTCGACAGCTGGCGACCCAATTTATTTCTACTTAATTCTGTCCTTTGCCTGCAATTTGTATACATCGGTACTTCTTCAGGATTTTTCTCCAACTAGTCCGTGTAAAACTAATTTTTGGCGGTTTATTTTGCCTGCTTTCTAGTACTTTTTACCTTGCATTTTCACTGACTTTGTCTGATCTGCGTTTAGTTTCAGATTTTGTTTTTGCTTTCTGGTCATTGGTCGTGGTGTAAGTTGGTTTTGTTCACTTTTTCTTGACCTCTGCATGGCACGTAAATTGCTTTTATATTACTCGTGGAGGTTCTCCTATTTCTTTTTCCATGTTTTCATCTTCTGTTTGTACTCAATCAATGTGTTTCGCATTTTTACTCTTGACCCAAGGGCACGGGCAGGGAACCCCCTTCTGATTACAAGACGCCTCGGATCATCTGGCTGGGCAACATAAACGAAAGAAGCACTTTCATACCCACTTGAGGTAGCACCCTCTTCATTGTCAGTAACATTATTGTTGATCTGTGCTTCAGCAGCTACTTTCTTCTCATGCCTATATACTCTCAAATATTATCGGTTGTTCTTGTTTCTTTTGGTACTTGCTTGTCTACTAAGTTGTCCACTTGGTACATATGTTGATCTCCGTCTCAATCTTTCTTTGGCGAAGAACTGCTCATTGTCTTTCTCTTTGAGCCTCTGTCTTTAGGCTATATTTGTATATCGGCCCTTGATTTAACTATATTTCTATAAAAAAATATCTTGAAATAAAATGTTTGTTACTGTTTTGACATGCTCGTTTAAAAAGTTAAAAGGGAACGTTTTACATACAATCATGTATGAAAACTTTGAAAACCACGTTAAACTTTAATAGTTAATGTTGTTTTATGTTTATTAATTCAAAATAGAAAATAAATATTTAGATTTAATCAATTTTTATAATATTCTATAGTACATGTAACTATATAGAGTCACTTATATATGTTTCTCTAATAAATCAACTTGTTGTGTTTATTTGATTTCAAAAATGGGAAAAATAATAACTTTGGAATGAAAAACTTGGTATGAAAGTTAATTTTGATAAACATCAACTGATTTCTAAAAGTAACATTCAATATACGGTAGTCAAAACTATAAATAAAATAAGTGACATGTTCGTTACCAAAACACACATATAAAATGAAGTTTTAAATATTTTAATCACTATCTTGGGTAAAAATAAACTTCAAAAGAGTATTTATCATGATGTTAAACATTCAATGATTAAATAAAACAACATACCTTCGTAGGGTTGGAAATCAAATATAGAAAACACTTGGATACTGAATCGCCTAGAAAGCGTCTGTCATTTTCCTTGTCTGTGTGATGAAAAATTGACGTCACCTGCATACGTCACAATTTTAATAAAACACACACCGTACTCTCTCTTCTATGTTGAAGACTGGTATCGAAAATGTCAGTGACGAACATTTCAAAATTGTAGAACACAATCAAAATGAATAGGATTAACTTACACACTATATACATACCTCAATTGTATTGATGCATTTATTAGATCTTGGTGTGCATAAATGTAGATAGTGTTTAGCTTAAATGTATGTTCAGAGCATTGACAAAGCTTATTTGAAAATTGCTGATAATTTTCGTCAAACATAGAAGCGCTGTATTCGGGTAGATGACAAGTACTTTTTACCTATAAAAGAAAGTATAGTTAAGACGAGAAACATGGGCATGACTCTCCCACGAAGTAATTTTTTGCAACAACTGGGTTACGTTCTCAGTTTTTTCTTAGTCAGCTAAAGTTCAGGGTCATATTTTACCTACATAATGTGAAATTTTTGTCCATAATGATGTTTAGCCCAAGTTTGATCCAATTTAGTAAATAGACAAGAAATGTTCATATGTCATACGGCCTTTCCCAACCCTAAACGTGTTTTAAATGAGAAGTACTTAATAAAGTCACGGTGAAAATGCTTTTATTATGTGATGTGTTATTGAATAAGGAAACAAAATACACACTTATTGTTTCAGAATAGTAGATTAACGATAATCTTACCAGTTTAAGAATATAAGTTATGTCTAGTGCAATATGATACAACGATTTTGATAAGCACACGTTATATAACACCAGATTCACTTACTAATATTGTATTATCCTTATCAAATGTTTGCATTTCTTTAGATTATTTTCATTATGCATCTGGGAATTCCTTAATTATGTAAAAATATAAAGGAAATGAATAGATTCACAGTGAGTAACTCTCTTTCAATACAATTAACAAATGTTTTAACATCTTTGCTTTGAACAATTACATTATGATAGAAACTTTCTTAACTGAAGTACATTAGACATGTATATATTTGGACAGTTTTACTTTCCCCCAAGTATAATTATGTAAATTACAATCATATTGATAATTAATATTTAACGTGTATATCCAATAACGCAGGAATGTGCAAATAACACAGGAATTGAGCAACAATAACGCGGAATTGTGCAGTTTTGTGGCTGGAAAGAATACGCTTATTTACCATTCACTTTAGAGGCATATTACTACAATATTACTGTCAAACAATCAATTTGGAAGCAATTTATTTTTCCAAATTTTATTTTGCAGCATATATTTAGCTTTTGTACACCTTAAAACTTACTAGAAACTGCTGACCAGGGGATAACATAGTATTAACTCCTCACAAGATAAATGCTTAAGTACTACTTAAATTAAATCTTCCAAAAAAAAGAATAGATGCAAAAGAAATAGCGTGTGTAAGAGACACATTTTTATATCAATATTTTAAGTGCATAAAATATTAAACAATCCATGATGAGAGTACACATTTTAAGTTTTCATAAAATAGACAGGAATCTGGAGGCGCAACGCTTATGAATTATCTCCCCTTATCACAATGTCTTAATAAACAGCTTAATTGAAATAACCATTTATTTTCTTAACCAAGTGAATTGATATGTGGTCGGTTTTTGTTTTGAATGATAGACTAGGTGTCTAAAACTATTTCCTTGATAATTTATTGATACTTTTACTTTTCAAGAATGGCCGCCAAATTCAAAATGGCTGCAATTTTCTTGACATTTTATTAACATTTTAAATTTTTAATATAAACTTCGTGGTTTTGTTTTTGTAAAAAAAAGCAAAACTTCACTTCAAATAAAAAAGGTTGTGCGTATAGACTTCCTCTTGTTCAGTTTGGTTTAATAATATAAAGAATAAAAATTACACCCCTTTTCCTATGTTTTACAATACAGCTTTTGAGTCATATATCTATTATCACGTACAATGTCATCAATATATTTTACCATCTCAATTTCCTTCTAGATCTTCTTCTTCATTTTCATCATCTTCTAACACTAACACAAGCATTTTTATAACTATGGTATAAAGCAATTCTGGTGGTTCTGTATTTCCCTCTGTCAAAGTATATTTGAGTCCTTCGGTTGTACCAATATTCCACCCATATCTATCAGGACTTGAAATAGTTGGGAATTAAATAAAAGGCTATTCGCCACACAACTTCTTGGTAATTTTATCTAAAAATATGTATCTTTAATTTGAAACGACATGGTGGTATTAAACTCAAGTCAATTCCATTGGTATTTGTAAGTATGTCTGCAATTGGTCTAAACTTTTGTCAACACACAACTTATTTATGTCACTATATTTGTCGTTCCTGTATAAAATGCAAACAAATTGTTTGAGAAATTTAAAATCTTCTTAAATATCAACACTCTTGTCCATTGTCTTGAAAACTTGTTTTATTTTCAATGTTTTTTTTTCAATGTTTAAGGCTTTAATTTTCCATCTGCGCATAAAAGCGCTCGTTGTATCACATTCGGGGAACTATATAGCCCAATCAAATGCTTTGCCTTCTCCTAGTCTATTAAAGATTTCATTTACTTTCAACAGTCTTCTTTTATTAGACACACCAGTGTCAAATAGGATTAATCTATTGATATACTGTGCATACATTAGAAGATATATCATAACATCAGTATCAAGAGATTGTGAAATTATTGCTTTGTAGCATAATTCTGGTATCAGCGTCCACCTGAGACGTATTTAGATCTGGAATCGGTAAAATTTCTACTTTGCCACCTTTACCGTGGAGGCATATGCATGTATTTTCAAAATCATAGTATATTCTCCTTTTGTCCAATTGCAGAGCGTATTTATCTTTAGACTATTCATCAAAAAAGCAATCTTATCAATTGTTTCTTATTTTCATTTTTACGATTCTGCTTTGTACTTATCCGTCACGAAGTCTTCACGCTCATATTTGGAAAAATCTCAAAAACTTTTTCAGAGACATATTCAAAGGTTGGAGGGAGACAAGAAAGTGCTTGAATTAGGGCATTTACGTTATATATGTATGTTATGTTTTAATATCTGGCCTCTTTTTCGTTTGTAAAATCGCTTTCGTGGTCATGCATTAGTTTTGATATGCCTGTCCTTGTTGACAATCCATCTGCTGTAGGTAGAGACCAAGTGCTAGGTCCAAGTAGGTATGTTAATGTCTTGTCAAGACTTATGTCATTTTCTTCTGAGAACATGATAAGCTGACCGAAGACATTGCAAGCGGCATTACATTCGACAAGCTTGCTCTGAGATGATGTCACTGTCTTAACTTTCTTTGTATTGGCAAAGGTTTTTCAGTTTTGCTTCTTCAGTTGAGCTTAAAAACAAACGATTTTATCAACCAGACGTTCTTTGACAACCTTCTTGTGCGCTTCAAGTCCATTTCGGTCGGCATAAAAAGATTCTTTTCGATCCCCTCTGATGCAGGAGTCCCTGAACTTAAACAGAACACATCCCTATTATATGTTGCAGATGGATTCATAAAGTTAATAATTATTCTTTGAGTTTCGTGACATTTTTTTCAGATGCAGCTGTATTTGCTGGCTGAGTATCAATTAGTTCAGAAGTTCCGCTGATGACATGCCGGTCATGCGGAATTTAGCCTCAACATAGCTAGCACTTGAGTGTCGTGTTTGACCCTATCTGTAGTAGGCAGCAAAGTTTCAGCTGAATCATATTATCTTAAAGAAGCTTTCTTGTTCCTGGGTGTGTTGAATCAAGGTTTATCAACATAAGAACATACGCAAATAGATATATTGCATATTTCTGATGATCATATGCAAAGAATAATAGTAACATTTTTTGTAATGTTGATATGTATAGGTCAAATCTTTTTCCTTCGTGGCCCTCATAAACAAAGAACCAGGCAAACGTTGTCAAAATAATCCATCTAAACTGTGCCGTTCCCCAAGTCACCTTTTCTGATGTCTTCCTCGAACTCTTGATATCCCTTGTAAATTTCAGTGACAGAATCAATAGATAACATATCTTCAAGGTTTTTACGCCTTTGATTCTAAGCTCAAAGTTAAACTTGGGTTGTAGTTTTAAATTTGGATAACTGCTGCTATAAACTCCTCAAAAACTTGTCTTTCTAGAGCTTCAACTGTTAATCTATGGTCTCAAATTGCTCTGTTATAATGTTTTCCATTCATAACCTGTTCAATAAGATTTTTCAAAACTTCTGAGAAACCACTCCTACGAAGCTGTTTGCAAATCGCCTTATCAAATGAACCATCTAAATGTATGATAGAATCACTGTACTAAGTCTGATTTTTCCATACTAAAGAATATGCCTTTTTAACAGCAGGCAAATCAAAGGTCACACATGTGTACTGTTGGTTTACATCCCTTGAAACACTTTATGAAATTTCTAGAATTCTGAACAGTGGCATTTTCTGTAATTGGGGCATTAATAGGAGACTTGTACTCTTCTGTAGAGTGTGTTTGATTTTAGAGTGATCCAGCCAGGTCAACTGGGAACAATTTGCTTGCCATGATCTAGCTGTCACAGACACTTGAACCATAGAAAGTTAGACGAAACAGCGAAATCCGAAACATTCCCTTTGTCGAAACTTTCTTTTGAAGTATTGATAAATGGTTCTGATTTCCAAGTAATAAAGCTTTCAGCCAATTCGTCAGGACACTACTTAACAGTGCGCGTCTTTGTTGAAAAAGGGGAAAATAACTTTTTAATGTTTTTTAAGGGTGTAACAATGTTTATAAAATGCAATATATTAATCTCATTTATTATTCTAATAATAATGAGAAAACTACCAACTAAGGGATAGTCATTTTACATAAAATAGAAGTAAGACGAGCTACCTTTGGTGGAACGAGCAGTCTATCTGTCAACTAGCCATTTTGATAATGGTAAACTATACAATTCAATACAGTTATATTTATATACAGAATCAGGAACGGAACGGAGAAGTCAACTACCATTTTTTCGAATTGTTTCTCATAAAAGTGAGAGTTTATTAAGTTTTTGATAGGAAAAAAGGCAATTGTTGCATGTCATCTTGTCAAATTCTTAATGCAGCTCAAATCGACCCTAAACAATTATGGTTAATATCTTTTTTTAAAAAATTGAAATAATATTGAAAATGTTAGAACAGACTTTTTATAATTCTACCAAGCGTACTGTTAGTTTCTCTAAGCATATCATATATTTTAATAATTACATCAAACTATTTATAAATGGGTATAAACACATTCATTATCGTTATGAATTGTTTATCTGTTCAATAACTGGCGGCCATTTTAAATGGCAGACGCCGTTTCTTATGTTATTTTTCATGTTAAAACTTTAAAATTTTACAATAAATCATGAAACATATATTAACAACTCAAAACAATGTTTAGATCCCAAACTCACTCCGTCAAAAAGAAGATATCTGAAGAGATCTTATGAACTTATATAAAAATATGATTCAAGAGGAGATAATCAACTTGTTGTATTGGATTCATTGTAAACGTTTCAACTAGTCAACAAGTGCCAATCGATAGCATATACCGTTAGCTTTAATGCTATAAACGTGTACAAAAATACCCAGAGGGGGTAAGGGGGTTATGTTAGCCCTACGTTTATAAAATATTGTTAAAATACAAGCCAATCAATGGAGATCGGGTCTATTTTGTGTCAATATTTTTCAGAAAAGATTCATTGCGCAAAAAAAAACAAGAGCAGTCACTAAAAAGTGACTTATGCCAATAAAATCCGAAATATATGCAAAATACCGGTATTATAAACCCGACCGCCTTTGATAAATATCATTCCAAAAACTTTACTGAAATTGCATTAAAAGTGCATTAAAAGTGCAGGAAAATAAGTCTATTCTAATTTTACTTAAAATCATCATCAAGGGCCCATAACTGTGGGAAAAAATAATGCACACAAAAATGGCACAATGCAAACAATTTGATGAATGTTTACTGAAACTTCCTAACAGGTATTGGAGATGAAGGGCGGACAAAAGTAAGTTACTAAACATCAAGATACTATGAACAACTATGCTTGTTGACAAGTTTCACAGAAATCCCCCAGTGGTTTTGGAGATGAAAACGCGGAAAGCTTATTTTCCTCAAAAAATGGCCATTAAGGGGCCATAACTTAGCCGAAAAAAATCAAGTTAAAAATTAAAATACTATGCACAACTAGACACGGTGACGAAAAATCCTGTGAAGTTTTATTTATAGTCCCCCTTCCAGCGGTTTGGAGGTGAAGCGTTGGCAAGAAGTGACCATTAAGGGGCAATAACTGGGCCAAAACAATTCAATGCTATGCACAATTAAGCATGGTGATTAACAATCCTGTGAAGTTTCACTGAAATCCCCAAGTTGTTTTGGAGATGAAGAGCGGACAAGCTTATCGGACGGACGAATGAACGGCAGATTGAAGGACAGTGCAATTACAAATATCGCCCTTCGAGGGCATAAAATAAAATTTAAAAAAAACGATGTACTACAATGCTTTTTGTACATGATATGGCCCCTTTTGATAAAATATATTTTGTTATTAGAGCGCAGACTTTGTCATCACTTATACATATACTGGTCATCCATGCATTACAATGATACGCTTTGCTTCGTGTCAGGGAAGAGGGAAAATTTTGTAGTTACTTTTTTAAACTTATCGTTGAAAAACAAATATCAACATTACTTTTCATGCCTTATATTATTATTATTTGCTCTTATAAATTAAAGTGATAATATGTTTTCATTTACTAGTAGATTAACAACATTTTAATACAAATAATCAATAGCCTGACAATTGATTCTTCATTAAATTGCTATTGTTATTCTGCATAATTATTTACATATGTGTGAAGTATGCATGATAAATTAAAATAACGATTAAGAAAATGATCGCAGTTTTATTTATTTCACTTATGCATAAACCGTCAAAAGGTACTGTCTTGAATTATAAATATTATAAATAACTTAAATATGATATAATTGTATCTACCATCGCCGCTCTTATAAATTGTTAAAAATATTATAGTATAATGAATTTCTATCTTTTACATTTTGTCATAACAGGCCATCGTATTCACATGGAAGGAGCAAAAATGGCTGGTAAATTTACTTCAGACATATTTTAACACGCCAACCAATCAAGATCGATAGATTTAAAACATAGGTGAGATGTGCGGAACACAATATTACCATTGTATTATTAGGCGACCTTGACCTCTGACGTGATTAATGTGCATGACACAAAATCTCATGATGAGCATTTGTGCCTAAAAAACTAATGTTATTTCAAAATTCCGTCATGCATGAAGAAGTTATGGCACACAGGTATGCACGAAAAATAAACAACTATATATTTCGACAACTATGCCAAGCTCAGGGCAAATGGACTCAACAAATATCCTCGGACCACTAAGCATAATACTTTAAAGCATAAATACTTCAAAGCATTAACAATATACAGCGGCTACAAACATTTTTTATTCAACCTTAGACCTGTTGTGACATTAATATTCATTGAATAAATGAATGAATGAATGCATAAATGAATGAATGAATGAATGAATGAATGAATGAATGAATGAATGAATGAATGAATAAATGAATGAATGAATGAATGAATGAATGAATGAATGAATGAATGAATGAATGAATGAATGAATGAATGAATGAATGAATGAATGTAGTTTTCTATTTAATAGATTTGATACGTAGATCAAAATAAACACGATAAAAAAATCTTTGCTAATAAAGCGATGTGCAATCTCTCTATGAAATTTTAAACTTTTTGCACGCCCTTTTTCATTTTTACATTTTACATTAACATAAGTCATAGTTAATACAATTTTATATTTTGTTTCAAGTGACATTTAGAAGCATATAGCCTTGAATATTCAAAACATGTATGCTGTATATACAAAAATATTAAGATCGATGCGCACAGACATATTATTTTCCTATAAAAGAGCTAATAAATACAAAGGGGATTACCATGTTATTTTGCAGTATTTTAAATATGAAAAATTACATATATATTTCCAGCAATCTTAATGGGCTCTGTTAAAAATAAAGAACAGAACATGATTCGGTCTGATAAATTTGGATAAAGAGGAATCCGGCACCCTGAAAACAAATAAACGCAAAAATAATGACGCACGAAATAAATGTTATACTCACATCGACTGTGCATGTTTTCATTCCTGTTACAAAATTATAAAATTCACTATCTTCGGTGAAAGTAAGATATTTTGTCTTTGAAGACTCTGTGTATAAAATGTTTCTCTTTGCATCCAAATCTAAATTTCTAATTTCCATAGTTATTTTTGGTTGAAGACCTGCTCTTGAACCATAGTCACAATACACTTTCATACCATCTGAAATGTATTAATTTGTATGACAGCTCTTAGGTTCAAAAAGGTTGTGGACTTTTGATGTCATTATTTACTTGGTTCATAAAAAACAAACTATGTGCCCTTTAATAACCATGACAAAGCAACATCGCCACACGCCGAAATGTTCGTATTATGTTTAAATATATATTATGTTGAAGTAGATTGAAGTGTAATTTCATCAGGTAAAATGCGGGCAAACATCTGTTTATATTCAAATGACATTAAAATGAAATTCGACGTCGTTTGGAAGTTGAATGGCTAAACAAACAAGTTTTGAGCAGCAGTAGTCAGCAGTGTAAATTGCGAAATTTGAAGCCCGTTTAAAAACTCGAAATTCGCACTTTCGGAAAGTTTTGCCATTAAATTGCGGAAACTACTTCATTTCCATAGGAAGTAGTTGAATAAACAAAGGGCAATGAGCCGGCGAGCAAGTCATTCGGTTTCAGCTGGTGCAAGCGATTCAAAAACAGTGAAAACAGGATTACAGACAAACAATGGAGAAAGCGGCGAAGTGTCAGGAATTTTGTGATGTCAATTAAAAAGAACTAGAAGAGGATGGACATTATGAATGTTTGCGAGCTCTCCGGCATGTTTAATTTCTGCATCGGGTCTACATATTCTATTCTAAACAATTAAATTTGAACAATATTTTATTGTATTCATCAGGATATATGAGTATTTACAATAAATAAACATAGTTACTATTTATATTACATGTATTTTCCATGATTTGTTTAATAATAAATGGGAGACAGTTTTCAGTAGATTTAAGGTTAATAATAATAGTAAGTAGATAAAATATTTTTCTTTACCAATAATTTTGTTAAAAGATCAGATGGTGGTGATTTTAAACTGACACTTTAAATCACCAATTAAATCAACTCAGACCCTTAGAAAATGTGACCGCTTCCTTTCTCGCTTCATCAGAACAAACAGAAAAAAAAGTTACAGTTATAAGATCCGGATTCATGGAACACTCAAAATCTCAAAATTGTACTTTCAGACACAATGACGCTGGTGACATATTTGATTTTAAATTTTGACGTCACGAACGTCATATTTGTTAATCATGAGTGTTTGCCAAGTCGCGTACCCCTTGTTATTTGTAATGTTTACGGAATAGTTATGTGTAAACACATTGTTTTGAATTGTACGCTATATTTTTTGTACATATTCTAATATTGGTTGCTTGTAAAATCGTGTAGTTTACTACGTTAAATGAAAAATAAAAACAGTAGAACTGCAGTCAACAAACTTTTTGAACATCCCTCGTACATTATAGTTAAGTCTATTGTACATTTCATGTTTTTTCATTCAGCGGATTTAAATCAAGTCATATCAATTCATTTTTAATATCTTGGATGCTAACGACGTATGTCAAATTTACACATACATTTATTGTTTGTTCTTTCATTTAAGAAATATAAATAACGTTACCAATAACTCTTTGACCAGATTCAAAATAGCCTTTGTGCCACCACTTCTCGCACGATAAATCATCGTCAGTCGTGCAATCACTTTCATCACTACCGTCGTCACAGTCACGCACCTTGTCACAAACCAGTTTATTATCTATACATCTATCACCATTACAGTGAAAAGATTCCCGACATTCCACTTGAAAAAAAGAGGGGAAAATGACTTGTTATATGATAAGCAATCATTCAATATATTTGTATATGTGTTGAAGCAAAAGCAAAAGTATGTGTGATGTGTACGCCGCAATGCATATGAATTTAAAGAATGTGAATACATTTCGTTCGGAATGATTAAAGTGCAAAACGTTTAACTTACAACATTCAATTTCATCACTACCATCTATACAGTGCGGGATTGAGTCGCATCTTTTACTGTCCCGTATACACTGTTTATTACCACAAACATATTCATTGAGACCGCAGTTTCGAAGTTCTGCAAAGTAACAAAGAAACCTAATACTATCTAAACAAGCATTTATCGTAGAGTTGCGAGCAATCCATACGTCCCCTACAGGTTAGAACCCCAGGCTCATTTTAATGGGCCATTGGTCATTGAATTATGTCATTGAATGAATGAATAACATTGATCAACTTAAATCTTTTGAGCTCATAGTTTGCCTTTATTTTAGTTATGTGTTACGTTTGCCTGCCTAATAATGAAATTTTGTTAATACAAAAAACATGACTAGAAAATCTAATTTTCTCAGGATGAATATGTATAACTGTTGTTTCAACTTTTCTCTTATTTAAGGAAATTTGTTGGAAAGATTCTGACCTAGAAGTGACCTAAGAAAACCGTTATTATGAAGCAGATATAAATGGAAATAAAGAAGTTATAGCTACATCATTTTTCATGAAAATTGTCAGTTCAAGTGGGGTAATTCTGATATTTTTCGTGCTAGACACATATGATGTGATTGATCATCAGACTCATTATCTGAGGTTTACAGTAAATATCTTAAGAAATAACTTATAATGAAAAAGCATAAACACTTGAAGAGATCGCCGAAACTTGGCGAAAGGACAGCTCTCAATATAGTCAAAAAATTTGACATGGCAAATTTTAAAAAAATGGAGACTGCAAAACAAACATAACAATAGCACGAAGAACAAGTCTAAGGATAAGTTGTAGAATGTTTTGTGACTAAAAAAAACATTTGCCATGGCAAATGTGTGAAAAATCTTGCCAATATTGGCAAAGTATTAGCCATGGTAAAATACCGAAATGCCATGGCAAAACAAACTTTGCCATGTCAAATGCAAACTTTCAATGCATTTTCATAAGAAAGTTGTTAAATAAAACATATTAACTTATAAACCTTTTCGTAAATATAACAATTAAAGATAGTTTTCATTTTCAAAGCGTGTAAAAATAGGGGTTGAATTTGCCAAAAATCCGTCGCGACAAAAAGAAACCGGCAGCTTATAAAGATTAAAATGATGTGTATGAACTCCATACAGTGTTTTCACTTCTTTTTTAGGTTATCACAAAATTGGTAAAAATTTGCCATATTTTAATTCTTTTGTTGTCATTGCAACCAAACTTTTTCAACAAATAGAGAAAAGAAAAAGACGTGCATAATATCCAGACTACCATCTACCAATATTTTGGGTCCAGTTTTTGGACGGACGGAGGGTAAACCTAATTTTCCTTCCAGTAAAACCGGTAGGAGACTAACAAAAGTGTTAAATATAAAGTTATATACATGCATGACATTTACATTCAGATTTCTCAAAAGAATGAGTCGTAATACAAATACATTTCTTTTCTCGATTGTCCCAGCACAATATTTTTTTTTAATCCTTTTGTTTCATAGCATTATCTTTAAAACGTCACCTATTAAAACGTCACCATTTTTTTATTTTATAAGCAATCATCTAAACATATAATACAATAAAAACTTTTAAATAATTAAGGTAATTATAGTTATTAACGCTTCAACGATACTCATTTTAAATATTTAAATGTAACTACCTCATCGCATATATATTTTTCTTGTTATTTTGGAATATAAACTCGCATTCAAATAAATATGATTCTTTTAAAGATGGCATTAATTCATATTCTTACAATTGATAATCATGCATTGGACCAACCACATTTTTAACAATGTGACAATTTAATATGTTTAAGACATGTTTTATCATAAAATATCGTACCACAAAATTCATCCTCTTCATTTGTGCAATCTGGTTTGAAATCACAGACTTGACCTAGTTTTATACAGCTTCCATCAGCACAAGCAAATTCATTCTCATTGCAGTCTAGCGTAATGATTGAATGATTTCATATTAGTTAAGAAACAAACAAAAAACACAAAACAAAAACAAACAACAAAACATTCAAATAATAGTTATAATTCTTAAATATCTTGCACGATCTCATTTCAAATAAATACTGAGCTATGTAGTGCAATATCCTATTACATAATATTGCAGCTTTGAATAAGAATTTGAACATTTGAAAACGTTATGTGTCGGATTTTACTTATTGCGCCAATAGTTTAAGTGTTGTAAAGACAAAAGTTTAAAGTGAGTCTTGAAAGGCATATTTTTAATATTTTTTTTTCTATGAGAATGTTAGAATATAATTTTTGTCACTTTATGTCAGATGTACCGCTTCTTTAGAACCGATCGGATTGGAAAATATTGGTACACATGGTGTGTATCCGGATCATAAGGGCTTGATAATATGCACGGCTCTGATGATGAAAAAAGACTGGCAGTCTTAAGGATAGTTCAAACATTTAATGCTGTTCTTTTTTCTTTTTTTTCCATCCGTTATTGACTGAAATGTTTCGAAGCAAACATAAGCAATATGAAATTTTTATGATTTTTTTTTGCAGAAAACCATGGTGAAAATCAACAGAGGGTACTAATGTGAATAGAATACTACAATATGTTCCTTTATTCCCTCTGTGTACAATAACGTTATCGTCACGCTTTTCCGTAAAACTACTTTAAATCATTTTTTAAAATGCCAAAGCGAGATGGATACTCGCTGGCTAAATTGAAATTGTTCAAGATAATAGGTGGCTTGAACTGGATAATTACCAGTATTTTAACATTATCGTCATAAAGATATATCAATAAATGATTTTTTGATTAATTCTTATCTGTGAAATGACGTTTTGTGCTCACCCTTTTGTCTGTGATCTGTACGTACAGAAGAAGAGTTCACTCCATTTATGGACCAAGTTAATGAAAAAATCATGAGGTGGGGATTCACATGTGAAAAGGTTCTTTCATTGCATGCTTCCGGTTTAAAGTGCAAACAATAGCAATTTCGATTTTTTTAATTTAAACGGGAAATGAAGTAAATTGGATGACAAACTTTATACATATTAGTTTTAAAATAATCAATATAAGAAATTATGCAGTAAATGAAAAACTATTAAGGTCCCAAAAAATGCATAATAAAATGTGATAATGTATATATTAGCTTTTGCATTCTGTTTGCATGCCCTTCATAATATCCAGGTAGTCCACATTTCACATGCAGAGCTGCAACACTTGGGGTAATCAATGTATAGAGAGACCTTGTTTATAATATAATTACTACCCCTCGCATTATAATAGATGTACAGTGAATTGACTCGACTCCGTACAAAACAAAAATAACTTGTGCCTTAAAGTGTATTTCTACTTGATAGATACAAATGAGTTATAGAAATGACAGCTAACACAAATGTATCATAAAATACCCTTAAACTGTCGAAATCTAGTCTCACAAAATCCAATTACAATTTCAAGGAATAACTACTAGTATAATAGAAAACGATTTTAAACGTTTTAGATATGCAACTAGTACAAGACTATGCTTCATTGGCACATAGATACTATTTTATTCGAAAGTGTATTTATTTTGTATTAAAGTATGCTCATTGTTTTAAATAGGTCCCACGTAATTAACATATATTTAGAGTTCAGGCATCTAGTTATCTTTTCCTAATTAAGATCCTAAATGTATATAAATGGGAAGGTGGTTACTTCTAGAAAGATTAAAAAAATGCGTCAAAGAGATGATGGACACTACGATGAGAGCTATCCTAGACATAACCCAATACTTTCAAATGTAGCCGGCTTATGTCTTCGCTGAAGCCATCGATTATCCATCTCACTTTGGCATCATCAGGGAAAAAATAAAATGAAGTCGTATTACGGAACAGTTTAACCATAATGTGATTGTTTAATAACCAATAAACAATAAGGGATTATAATGGTAATCTCTTCTCACAACTACCTTTAATTCAAATTTGTGGAGTCACAATTTCCACCTTCTCTAGTTATTTTCACCATGCTGCCGGGGCTTTCTGCAAAAATCTATGGCAGTTTTATTTTGCTAATGTACGGTACGCAAAAATGTTAATCATAAACAAGATGAAAATCAGGTAAGTCCGCGACAAAAAACATGATGCCAATTTGAGGACCCATTTGTTTATACCAACTACTCATCACGGTTATCCCGGTAATACATGTGAAAACTAAGTACAACCTAACTAAGACTAGGATGAGGAGACGAAAAGGCCGAAATCCATCCGCGCAGTCAATAAACAATTTGAACTTAAACCCTTGCCGACAATATAGTATAAACGTGGCATTAGATGCTTCATAACTTTATGCTACTCTTCATTCAAACTTTAAATCGTGCTTTATTGCATATAATTATGTTATGAGTCTGAGTTTATGTCTGAGTATAAATAAGGCAATCGTACCATTGAATGAGATAAATTAACTCAATATTATCCGGCGTGAGATGCTATAAATAAAGTACTTATTATATAAATTTAGAAAGTTCTAGCCGTACGTGAGTCACGTACGACTAGCAAGGACACACTGTATTGGCTAGCCGTACAGGATTTTCAAAATTATATGGAAGTCGAAAATGCATACGTTATTTTATGACTTGAAGCAAGAAACAGCAACTGTCTTCGTATGTTTACTTTTCAGAGATTAATCGCCTTGTTGGCTTCAGTAAAAAAAAAGTACGAATATCGATCTTTGTCATCTCAAGACGTTGAGAAAAAAAAGCGTTTGGTAGCAGTTTAATGACATCAATTGAAAAATTTTACAAAATTTTGATGATAATTCTTTTTTGTTTCATTAAGTTTAATGTTCGACACCTTTAAAATGAAACAAAAAAAAACGAAAATTATTGTTGTTGGGCTCTGATGATTGCATCAATTACCGACGGTATAGAAGTTTGTTAATATAAGGAAAGTTCGCATGTTCAGTGAAACGCATTTTAAAATTCTATTGTCAGTCACTTGGTAGGCTTTGATATAGCCTAATTAATTGATTATGCTTTTACTTGTATGTTCGATATTTATCTACTGTATTTGAAAATTATACAATTATTTTTGCTTTTCACCGTTTTTTTTTTAATGTTCTTTTTATTTATTCCACTCTGATCATTATTTATTCGATCCATGTGCTTAATTAACAAAAATGTATCTTTCATACAAACAAAAAAAAACCAAATCATAATCATGAGGCACAAAATAACATATGCATGTTCGACTTGGAACCATATAATTTTGAAAAGTGCCGTACGGCTAGACAATACAATGAGTCCTGGCTAGTCGTACGTGACTCACGTACGGCTAGAACTTTTGGCTAGCCGTACGGGCCCGTACGGCTAGCCACTTCCATAAATTTACTGGAGAAATCAAATGTTAAACATGAACTAGGAATAGCTTAATTAGAAGTAAAACATTAAAAAATTTCGACAGTTGATTTGTTGATAAAAATGAATCTGGACTACATATATATTCGTACACATGAATGCAATCAATAAAATAATATTTGCGTTCCCTTATTGGCAATATTTCATTCTATTACAATTTTAAGGTCGGCTTAACTATGGATAAAAATATTTTAACAAATATTACATATATGTAAAAAGTTAAGAACAAGTTACCAAAAGGAAAGGTGATAGTATAACTTAATATATTTTCTTATCTATTCGATTAAGGTATTGCTAGTGAACATAAGAAACGTTACTGGTATCTTAAATTGTTTAGCCATAACCTTCTATTTCAAAGCAATAACAATTCTTCAAATTTTTAACCCACAATGCTTCCACTTAATCACTTTTAATTAATTAAAAAATAATCTACTGACAGAAAATAATTTAAAAGAATAAAACAAGAAGCCTTTGTCACCTGTACTTTGTCGTATACAATCGATTTCATCAGATGCATCTAAACAGTCTATTACAGAATCACATTTTGCAGCTATGGAAATCCATTCCTTACTACCACATTGATGATAGTTTCCTCCTTCATCGACCGATACGTTTAGAATTGTGGAGCTTAATTCAACCTCTCGTGCAAGTTCGTGTTCTAAATAGTACAGAAAATAATAGTGTTACCATAAAGAAATTGAATGACAATTTTTCCCCACTTTTCCAAAGTTTCATCGTAAAACGAGTGTCGTAAACTAGTTTCTATGCAAGTATAACGTATCATTGTAAAGACACAGAATCCTTCGACAGAATCGATCATATCACAAAGCCAAACAATATGCATAAGCGCACCTATTGTCAAAGGGTTTTTTGATTTTTTTTTAATTCCTTGAGCAATGCACAAGAAGTTAGGCAAAGAATGCTTATGAATGCACACAAAAAGCCGGGCGATAGCTATAAACAGCCATCTACATCATATTTTTTCTTTTTGAAAAGCTGGTTAAAATCATGTATTTAGTCTATATTACGGAAATGTGTTTGACTCGCCAATACAGTTGTAAGGATATCTTTTGTGTATAGTGTTACCATTTTTTTGATGAATTATACAATATATCATATATGTGCATATAATTATATTTTAATAATTAACTGAAATATCAAAATAATTATCTGCTTTTTCTAAGTTCAAAGATTGCTGAAAAATTAACCATGTCTGCAAAATATTCTCGTTTGCCGTTTAGGGCTCTTATTTGGAACTCTCTTTCTCTTTCTATTTTAACACACAATATTCGTCTTCTGACATATTATGCGTGATTAATTTTATTCACTATATTTAGTGCATAATATATTAATTACACTATTTTTTAAAAATAAAACTAAAGCATAACACTGTACAAAATTATAGCGTAGTTCCTACCTTCCAAGGTGCAATTAACTTCGTCGGTTTTGTCTTCACAATGGAACGTTTTATCACATTTATTCACCCATGGTATACGGCGTCTGGTAGAGTTGCATACAAAAAAAACATCAGCATTGACCATGATCATAGCATCAGAACCAGTTTCTATATTGGGGGAAAAGTCCTTGTTGAGTAAACATGTGTTGATTAATGAAAGGAAAACACAACCCGATAAAAAATGCTTTTGATTCAAAAGAAATGTACATGAAAATCATAGACTCGAGATTGAGTTTTAATATGTACTATAAAAACTCTTCAAATAAAATGGGCAAAATAGAAATAAAATGGAAACGTGATTTTCATTGTTGATTGTCATTGAAATTTAAGCCAAATTATCCGCAGCAAATGATTTGAATCAGTACTTATTTTCAAGCACGAAATAAGTAAAAAAACAAGAATAAAGTTCAACAAGGCAAAGACAACGCTTACAAGACGCAGCCCCCGATACACCCAAGTAGGGCACCCAGAAGGCACCAAACAAACATAAGGCTGAAAGGAGAGGGACATGGAATGTGAAATTATATAAACTAAAACGGACCCATAAAGGAATTAAAGGGATCAGGGTTGTAAGGGTGGAAATGGGGGGGGGGTAAAAAATGGGAGAAGAGGGTGTGAGAAAATTCCTACCGTCAACGACAATCCAACAAAACAGACATCACAAAACATGTAAACATCCAAAACAAGTAAACATACAGACATAAAAAACTCGTGAAGGAACACAGAGGGGTATCGCCTTTGAGTAGTTAAACCACTGGGGAGTTTAAACCGGTTTTAAGCGCGTCAAAACTCACTCATAGCCCCACTATATTCCTGAATGACACAAAAATGTAAATAAAATTAATCCCCGCCAAGTGAAATTCTAACAATGGTCATGGTTACATTATACCAAATAAATTAAACACGTAAAAGATTGTGTTAATATGTAGAAAAATGTTACAGCCTAAAGACCATTACCAAAGTACTCGATGCCTTAAAGGACGACAGAGCAACAAGAAAATCACCTACAAGGGCCGGACGAAGCAAGACAGAAGACGAATATTAAGACAGTCCAGTCCCAAAGGGCTTAAAGAACTGTCCATCATAGAGTCTCCCACTTAGTCCGTCAGATGTAATTAAAAGAGGAAAGCGTAGCGTCCAACTGTAAAAGGGTACAAAGCATGCGGTATGCCTTAAAATAATTGAGTCATAACCTCTTTTAATAAACCGTTTCGTAGTAAGTGAAAACGGCAGAAAAATTACTATGACCCATAATCCTACGAAGTTTGTAAACCTTATTTCCATAGAAATCAGGTATGCTTATACCTTGTCGCAAAAGAGTTTTTAAATTACAATTAAGTTTTAAAACTAAGTCTGAATTACGATGGTTAAACTTTGTAAAATATTTACTCAATTAATGATAGCGATAACCTTGTTTCAGAAGTGTGTTAGTAATAAATAAATTGCGTTCATTAAAATCATCAACACGACTGCACGCCCTAGCAATTCTAATTAATTGATAAATATACACCCCATATGATTAGCATGGAGTACATCTCCATCTTAATGTGAATTGTTAACAATATTAAAATCAAAATCATCTATTTTATGGTAGATTTTAGTTACTATAGTGTTGTTAATGATAGAAATGTTTAAATCTAAAAAAGATGTAATAACGTCTGAACAGTTAGTTTTATTCGATTTAAGTTCACTGGGATATATTTTAGAAACCAACTGATCAGAATAAGGACTATTCATGTTAAGGATATCATCTTGGTAGCGGGAAGTGTTGTTAAATGCATGTATACTTTCCTGATGTGAAGTAGGGGAAAGACTTAACATAAAATCCCTCTCATAGCAGTAAAGAAATATATCAGCTATCAGGGGGGTACAATTAGTTCCCATTGGAATGACTATTATCTGTTTGAAAACTGTATTACCAAACCTGATATAAATGTTATCTAATAAAAACGAAAGTGTTCTACAAACTTCGTCACAGGTCCACCTTGTATATTGTTTAATAATACTTGGTAAAGAAAGCTTTCTTTGAATTGCAAGCAAGAAACGTGACATGTTCTCTTGCAAATGTTATTTTTAATTAAAGATAATAATTTATCATTTATAAGCTTATGTGGCAATTTTGTGTATAGAAAAACCAATGGAAATCCAGAATATTTCATAATAATGTTTACATGAAAACACATTTTAAAGGGAGTTTTTATAACACGTTGCCATTTTTTTTTAATAATAATAAAGCGTAAAGAAAAAGATCTATCTATTGCTGTGAGTATAGGATTCTGAGTTTTACTTTATAGCTCAAACTTTTTTTAACAACAGCAAAAGCATACGTGAAAAGAAACATGGCTCCCAGATCGACACGCTGTCATTCACGTAGCAACCCATTATTCCAGAGCGATGTGGGTCTTGACATAATGTAGAATTTTTCTTTAAAACTTCTTTACGTTGATCAAATGTTTTATTGAAATGTATCAATGCATTTTTCGTTAGATTACTCCAATTCTGACACAACTTCCCGGAGTAGGAGTAATTTATTTTTGTTTTGTTTCCTTCAGACAAATTAGTATTACACCTGCTTTTCTTTGAGGTAACTGAAAATATAAAATGTTACAACATACGTAGGTAAGACATGCCAAATGTGTACTTTAACTTCAAATAGCAAATAGAATGTTTTAAATTACTACTGAAACAATATATACCAAAACATGTATACCTTATGCTTCCTTAATACTCAAACATGCAAAGAAAATAGGAAAAATAACCTATTTCGAAACGATACTGATAGAGTTACATATGCATAATAGAATTTTCAATGTAATTTATGAGATTTGCTTAAATACATTCAATTGTTCAAATACGAAAAAATCATGCACATATATTTTCCTTTAACCTTGTATATACTTTATTTTTTGGCATTCAAAGTACGTAATTGTTTGTTCAATTTAAACATTTATACATTTAATGACTCAATTAGAGAAAAGTCGAAGGCAAAATATACAAAATGAGAATATGTTCTTTTGTCCCATATACCAAATACAAATTCTAAGATATGATTTCTGACAAGATAGAATCATATAAGACGTTAATTTATGAAGCAACAAGGTAAAATGCTGTTTTGTTTGGAAGCTTGCATATAACCCCTGAAAATAGCATAGGTGTTATAATATGTAAACTTCAAACTTAATTTAACTTTAACTCAACCATTGAAGACAAAAACATTTCTGTTGGAGTATGAACAAAAATAAATTACATTTTGCTTTACCCTTTTCATTATAATCCGACTGACAGATGAAATAATCTGTATTATGTGCATTGTTACAATATTCTGATTCCAATGTTCTGTCTATAATAAATGACCGAAAGTTTGTACAAGCACAGTCTCCAAATGATGGCTCACCAACTGCCCTGAAATTTGTGAAAGAGGAAATTTTCAACCAAAACATGATAAGCCAAAGTTAACTGAAACGAATATACATCTTACACAAAATGAAACATAAATGGAAGAAAACGTGTAAATTGTTTTTTTTTAAACGATATAATTTTTATTATTCTTTAAACTTTAATAAACATTAAGCATAAATACGGGCAACATATGTGTTGTTGTTGTTGCTGCTTCTACTGGTTTTGCGAGGATTATCTCTGTTATTTTATGGAGTCCGTTTGTTTGTTTTTCTGCTTGTTTGTTTTTTGTTTTTCTTTGTCAAAATAAAGACTAAACCATTTACAGCTACATAAAAGCAGCACGCTTCCAGATTCATGCTAATTTTCATGAAAATTTTGAAAATGTGTTTAAAAGTATTATTTATTGAAATAACCAAAAGGAAGCAATTTACAAATTATCAATGGCACTTACAGCCCACATGAATTACGAAAAAGAGGGCAAAATATGCAAAAATTGTCCATACTGCGTTAGTAACGCAGTAGAAATATAGTTTTAAATACTGAAAAATCAGTCATTAATCCCACATAACATTTAAATTATTACACGATCTTGAATATTTTTTCTTTTCCTAAAATCTTAGTACATTTTTTCTCAAATTTGATGTTATTGAAATATTTTCGCTCATCTGGAGGCCTGCAGCTTTAATTAAATAGAAATATCTAAAACATAACCAAACATGAAGGTGAAAAAGTTAATTATCAGATATAGCTTAACTAGATATTGTATGTAATAATACTGCAATACCTTCACCACATCTGTTAGCTCTTTAGGTACTGACCTAGGTCAAAGTCAATCTAGTGAGTCTATAGCCAATCGAGTAATTAAGAAGGCCGATGCAAAACGAAAGATTTTATATAGGAAAAATTAATATATTAATATGAATACTAAACAGCTTTTAGTTTCTTCATTGAAACAATTCCATTTTGATTATGCGTGTGCCTCCTTGTATTTGGGGTTGAGTCAAAATCTAAAAAAAAATTGACTTTAGGCCACATAGAATAAGATGGTGAGATTTATACTTAATCTCAGTCCCCATACTCATAGGTTGGTTACCAGTACTTTTGAATTTTGTAATTCATGTACATAAGATACACAATAATAATGCACTGAATTATTTAAATGACCACTGTCGAACTGCAAGTGAGATAAACTCTTACTCAACTAGTTTTAGACATAGTTACAGTTATTCTATTCCCAGAGTTAACCCATTTCATGTACTTTATAAGCACTTTGTAAAAGATGGATGTTTTCATTAAAAAGTCTCCATTTTTTCACTATTTGAGGCCTTAAGGAGGGGGTGGGTGTCGAAAGTGCGTTGTTTTGCGTATAAATGAGGCAAAAGGTTAAAGGTTTCGGAATGAAAACATTTGTATTAAATGGTTATCAGGACTGTAACAGGTAACCAACATATCTTAAATACATAACAAGTCTTGATCTCTTTTAAAGAATCTCAAACGGAACATTTTAGCATTCAGTATCTGTCTAGTATTTTAATTCAGTCATTTTACTATAATTGTATTACTTATTTTTGTGTGTTCAGAATATAAGTTTAGTACATTTGTAGTATCTATTCATTGTCAGACATTTTCTGTCATGCAGTTGACGATAATACATTTATTGTGCAATTTGTGAACTATTAACATATCTGCAATAACTTGTATAAGAAACTTAAGCAACTTGTTATTCAATAATTTAAATCTATCTATCTATCACACTGCCACATTGTGTCTATGTAAAATTATAACATAGTTACCAAGGCGAAAAAATGACTTCATAATTGTTCAACCAAACATATTTTTTTTCTTTCTTATCTGTGACCATTTTGCGCTTTAATCCTGAAATGTGAACACATCTTTACATCCATCCCCATAAAAGCGAACATCGATAGAACTATTTCAGATTCAGAACATCACTCAAATACACTTGGCGACTACTTACGCACTGAGTGCTCGATACGTTAGGCGGATGTCTTTACATAGTAAAGGAGCTCCGTGCATGCGTGCGTGCTCAACTCAAAATAAAATGTATTAAAATCATTGCCTTAACTGGTAAAAAAACGTTTGAATTTTAAAAATTGTTTCATGATAATCCCAATTGCATACAACTCAGTAAAATAATCAAATTACAAAATTGTGTCATATCTTCAAAACCAACTCACCTATATGTGCTTTATAGCTTGAATCTTTTGAATCACTCATCTCAGCTCTTCGATCAACGTACCTCTGTTCACGAAGTAGGTAATTAATGTACTGTAATTCTTTTGGTGACTGTATTGTTACAAGTAATTGGTCATATTCCCCACAAACAGAACCAGCTTGATACCAGGACATCGATGACGAAAATATTTTGTAACACTTTTTGAATTTCTGCGAACAAACTGCAAAGTAAAATGATTTTTAATTTCGTGTTCTAGACACGTTTTGTTAATGTTTAGAATTAAGCTGTATGTATAAGCTACTATATCACAGTTCCTGCGTTATAATCACATTCCTACGTTACGGGATATACACAAGTCAAATGACATCATTGAACTATTTACTTGCACCCTTGATTTTTTTACAAGAAAATTTTATTTATTCTTTATCACATTTTAATTTTACTTATTTTGCTGTTTTCAATACTTGTATACAAATAACAATCTTTAAAAACAACTAAATAAGAAATGGTTCCCATTTAATGGCGTTTTTCACTAAAACTATGTAACATGTACATATTCATTAAAAAATATGCACTAATATTTACAATGAAAACAATATGCTCGGAACAAATACCCGAATTATTCTCCAAAGTATTTAGAAAATAACATTTAGATTATTTACAGCTTAAATGTTCTTTAAGTTCTGATAATGACACACCGGACCTTTCGGACGATTATTTATTTATTCAGTTGGCATTTTAGTAACGACACTGCAAGGTATAATGACAATTATTGAGCTTTTCCGTTGGAGGAATACGTGAAGTATTCTTTCCGACCTTTTCGAAAGCAAGCTGGATGATTTCCTTACATGAGAGTGTCCGAAGTCCCCTGGTTCAAACATACACAGTGAGTTGTTGATACGACAATTGAGATTAAAGAAAAAAGATAAGACTATATTAATCTTAAAAACAAGAGCCATGTCAACATGGACATCCCCCGCCGAATTTGTTTGCTCATTTGAAGAATGTATATGTAGTAGAGGTAAGAGGTCTTTTGGTAATGAAAACCCGTCCTCAGTAAAATCTATCCACCTATGAAGTTGTAAGTTGATACCTCAAATACTTTTTGAGATAAGCTCCAGACAAAATGAACAAAACTCAAAAATTACATAGGGAAGAGATATCATTCCTGCGGACAGCATTCCTTCTCAATAAGATCTATCCACCTATGACATTTCATGTTGACATCTCAAACACTTTTAAGTTATGCTCCCCTCGGGTGAAAAGTTAAGTATAAGAAATAACAAAGAGCAATAACTAAAACATTTTGAAAGGTAGAGTTATTATTCTTATGCACTGCACACCTCCTGAGTGAGATCTATGCACCTATGAAGTTTCGTGTTGATATCTCAAAGGCTTTTTGAGTTATGCTCTGGACAAAAATTAATTTTAAAAACTAACAAAGAGCAATAACTAAAAAAAAATGCAGGGTAGAGTTATCATTCTTGTACACTGCACTCCTCCTCAATGAGATCCATCCACCTATGAAGTTTCAAGTTGATACCTTAAATACTTTTTGAGATAAGTTCCGGACAAAAATGTCGGACGGAAGGACGGACGGACGGAAGGAAGGACACACGGACGGAGACTATTTCTATATCCCCCGCCGCCTTTCGGCGGGGGATAATAAGTATGTACCTGTTGTCTTAGTTGAGTCCTTCATGTCGCCATCTATAATGTGAAGTAAAAGTAATATCTTAGTGACTAAAAAAATCATTGCGTGGAACAAACATTGTATTAACTTACGTAACGATGCATCGGCTGAATTTGCTTGATGAACATTTAGGAATACTTGTATATTAGTCGCGTTGTATAATTCTACAAGAAGTTCATTATTGAATATACAATTTACTAGCATAATACGTATATCGGTATCGTTCAAATAGAATTAAGAATGTCATCAATGAGAGTGCTAGATGGTGAGTCCTTAACTTCTTTTGTACCAAGGTGAAGTGATCTCAAAAGAACTGAACCCAGCAATACTGTATTGTACTAAAACATTATTTACATGTGGTTAATAACGAGATAAAAGTAAAATGATAAATTATATCATTTAATGTCTTGAAGATATTGAATGAGTGTATTCAAAGTCAAAACTAATTTCAAAAATATCTGCCTAAAATATCAAAAAAAGACTGCCCCCACTCTTTTGATCAATTAAATGTTACAGGTTTACGAGGATTGATCAATAAATTCTCAGCCCGATGTACTTCTTGTAGTCAGAAAACCCCTGTAAAAGTTCTACGTTTCAATAAAATTGCCCTCTTTATCAATGCACTTTGCCCACCTGTGCTCCAACTTGTTTAACCCTTCAAAATAGAACTCTCAATTTTGGTCCTCACGAACTCATTGACCGCCTCCATGGCACCTTCATTGCTTCCAAAACGTCTACCACGAAGCTTGGTTTTCAGTTTTAGAAACAGGTAGAAGTCAGAGGGCGCCAAGTCCGGATAAATGTGGAATGGGGAAGAATTACAAAGCCGCCGTCAGTTGCAGCAGCCATCGCAACTTTGGATGTGTGAGCTGGCGCATTACCGCGCAGGAGACGAACGCCTTGAGTCAGTTTGCCCCACCTTTTACGAGCGATTCCTTAAGGCAGACGTCTCAATTTGTCTGCATAGTACGATGATTGAGGCCATCTTTTTCCCTGCTGATGGCACTATCTTGAATTTTGAGTGAGTGAGCCAGTGTGCTTCACTGCATGCTCTGGTTTTTTTTATTCTGGATCGAAGTGATGGACCCATGTTTTTTCTTCGTTACTATCTGGTAAATAAAATCAGGTTCATCCTCGCTATGAGACAAGGTTATCTTCAAATGTCAAGCCTGGTCTGTTTCTGGTCGTCAGTCACTGTCTGGGGACCCATCTAGAGGAAACCTTTGACATGCCATAGACCTCAGTGAGAATAGCCTGAAGTGAAACAAAGTTTCATCATTGGTTGTTGCTTCTTTTGGCCGCCCAGGCCGCTCATCATCTCTTTCCTCCTCTTAAATTCAGCAGCCCATTTGTTCACATTTCTAAAGGAAACTTACTCTATTTGATCTAAATGGCACATGCCCCTACTGATCAAAGTGTGTTTGTTTTACGTAACTTAATATTGTACAAGCGCGTGTCTCTCGGTCAGTAATCTTCAATAAGATATCGGAACGACGTATCGTGCGTTAATGTCAGTGTAGTGGCTTGTATATCGGGCCGAGAACATTTTGATCATTCCTTGTATTCCGCTGCATCATTTCAGAAATTCCCTTGTGCCATGTTTACCGATCATGGGAATTTATCTATAAAAATAAAAGGATTTATGATAAAATGTAAATTTATTGTAACTGTCACCTGTCACTCACTATATACCCTTGGACCTTGACAATGAAACTACACGAATATATATATATATATATATATATATATATATATATATATATATATATATATATATATATTTTATCTATTCTATATCAAATATAAGACCTGTTTAGAGTTAAAAAAGGATTACATTTACATTGCATATACCCCTTATAAAGGCTAATAGGGAAACGCTAACATTTAGTGTGTCTTTTACACTATGTTGGCGAAACGTTATGATGTTGCGTCAAAATATAAGCACAACCGTGCAACACCGATTTTGAGCAGTTGCAAAAGTGATACGGGGTTTAAATTAAAATGTATATAAGTAACTTTACTTTAATATGTATTAGATATGTCATTTTAAATAAATCTACCTGTTTTTAAGGTAATTTCGGTCAAGTTGGCTAAAGAGTAGTTTTTTGTCCTGTAATGTAATCGAAATCCCTCTTTTCCTATAAAGGCTTTAGTTGGGTCTTCGTATTTACGAAATACTATCAACAAAGTTTCTTCTTCGGAGCTGATTTTTTCCGGAGGTTTATTTGTGTTGCAGTATGTATTTTCTTTGTCGCCATTTCTTTCAATTATTGTGAGGCGAGAGCGACTCTCGGTTATTTCTAAAAAATATCAGACGTTCATAGTTTCCAATATTCAAACGATTACATAGATGATGTATTGACAACAGAAACTCAAGTGAAACCTTTTACGTAGAACTCAGTGTCTTTATTATTGTATTCTCTGTGTTAATAATAGCTTTTTAAGTCTATAACGCAGATATTTGATTAATTTTCTCCAAAGATTACTGAAAATTTGTGTTTAATGTATGACCTATCAACACGTCACTTCAAAAGAATAGGAAACTCCTTTCGGTTTCTATAAACAAAGTCTTTATTAGTTTGACAACTCACTTGTTTGTGGTCAAGTACTTTAATTTCACGAATTTTCAAATGGTTCATTCATTGTTAAGCTGTGAACATCATCAGGAGAAAAAATTTAGTCAGTGAAATGTTGCAAGTAATAAGATTAAGGAAAACGATGCTTACCTATCGGGCATACAATATAAAAGTCTATAAACTCAATCTCGATGCCGTGATGATTTTTTGCCCGGATCCTAAACCTTTCTTCAAAATTGTCAAACGGATTATTCAAAATCGACATTGACGTGAGTATCATCTCTGGATTTATGCAAAGCTCTTTCCTTCCATTGCTCCAATTCACGTTTGGACCGATGGATAAACAAGCTGGAATATCTAAAACACCAATTCACATCATCCTTCAAAACAAGTAGTTTCATGAAGAAAAAAGGTTATAGGTATTAAGTAACTTTGTTACAGTATGTTTTAACCTGTTTCATAAAAATTAAGTCACATACTTATATTGCTTGTATAGAAGAGAGAACGTAAATGTGGCTGAAAATCGCATTTCATTTTGATATTAACTTACCTTCTTTACTTACAACTGCACGAAACCTACTTCCTTTGAATTTCTGAAAACACAGTTGAAATGTTATAACTAAAAACGTATTGTTTGTTTCAATAATAAATACTCTTTCGTTAAAATTGTCATCAATTTCAGTCCCATTTAATTGCTCCTGTAAATCTGTTCCTAGAATGAGTTTGTCGTCACACCCATCATCATCATTTACCATCTGAAGTGAAAAGAAAATGATAATTGAGCGTGATATTATATTTATTTAACACTTTTATTAGTGTATATTATTCTATATTTATTTAACACCATGTACACTTAAGCATATCTATTGCTCAATACTCGTTTGCCCTCATGGCGTTCGCCAGGTTACCTCAAGAGGGATATCATCGGATTTGTAATGTAGGGGTGGCCGACTTGAAATTTCATCATGATAATTGAGCTCCATGGTCTTTAATCTTGCACTACTAATGCAGAAAGTATGTGAGACTAGGACTACTAGTCGGTACTTTGCGGAGTAATTCTATATAAGTGACCAGCTTCCCAGGAGACAAGGTTAGGTGAACAAACCGGCGTAATATGACCAAAAAGATGTCAAATCAGCGTTAAAAAAGCAGACAAAGAAATACGACTTAAAAGGTCCCCTCTTGAGCATTTAAACACGAAACTCATTTTGATTTTCAAAAAAAATGTAAACTTCTTTTGTACAACAAAAATGTTGCTGTTGTCAAAGCATTCGTTTTATGATGTTTTAGATTATGCTTTTCAATGACAGATATAAAAGACAATTACAGACTGACAATAATGTGTGAGAAATTTTGGAGTTTGTAAAATGTTTTCTAGAATTAAGTGCTCAGCAACAAAATCGGCAGCCCAAATATGCGGACATAAAACAGTAAACTTACTAACGTCTAGGATGTTATTTTCGAAAAGCCTCCTTACACTAAAGCAAAAACCATTAACATCGTCTTATGCATTCTTGAGATTTTAGGAGGATCCGTCATCATTGTTTTAATTTCGTTATATACAGTCGGTGTTTATCGTATTACGATTACCAATGAATACCAATTTGCAAAAATGGTATTTTTTAAAAGTTCACGGTAGAGCTTAGGAAAAATCGTATAAAGAAATAAATTATATGAAATGTTTGAGAATATTTGAGAGGGTTAGTCATTACAACTGTTTCAGATTGCCTTAGATTCAAGTAATAAGTTAGCTGCAACACATTGTATTCTGGTTTTCTTGTTTTTAAGATAAGCAGTACGCCTATCGGGCTTAAGGGAATACTCTTTTTGTAACGGTCAAAAAACACATGTTTGAAAAGGGGAGGGATTTCGTTGTCAGTAATGACAAATGTTCAAAACCACTAGCACCGACTTAATCGGTATTAGTACTTGACAGTATAAGTATTGAGAAGGATTTGAAAAATATATCAACACTGAGTTGAGACACATTGGATGTTATTGTGTCAAACAGCGCCAAACATTTGCTGCTGTAAGTATAAAAAATAAGTTAGTCATGTTAATGTTTATGAGAATGAATAACGTGTTGACAATTTTATTCTGGAAGAATATATCTGAACATTTATGACTACACATCTGAAATGTGTGGCAAATCTGGTTCATTATGTCATAACTATAAAGTTGCAAACAAGTTTGTGCGGAACGACCTCTTAAATAAGTCCACATAGATTCTACTATTTTCAACATATACTATAACCGCTGCAAAACAGCCAACAGTATAGCAATTACTACAACAGTGTTATTTCTAAAGTAATAATTTACAATAAATTAACCTCTTTAAAGCAACATTTTTCAGGGGCAACTAAAATGTTTGTCTTCCAGAGAATTTTGCTCTGCAGAGGTTTTATAATATTTACTATACGGCAAAAAATCATATAGCTGAATCTTTAATTCATTATATTTGCTTTAGATAGAATATAGCAATAACATTCTTCAGACCTACATTCCTTTCTCAGTAATAGTAAAACAGTCGAAAGTACCAGAGAATATTTCGTGCACCTTCGTAAATATTTCCAAATAATTAAAAAAGATTTGTGTACGGTCACATACGTGTATTTACGCTACTAATGAATGTTCACGAAACAATACACTTTCTTATAACGCTTTGAGTTCGTCACACTTCGGTAAGTATTTGTAATAGATAGTTCTTACAAACTTAAAGTTCGTTAAATTTCAACTGTTATTGTCAACTTCGGTCAATATTTACCAATTTTAAAATTTTATCAAATTTGCAAAGCTTCGTGTAATCAATTTTCTCAAAAGAATCCTGTAAATGTCCACATAGTGTATAAATCTTACCATTTGGTTCAACTGGTTCAACGTGATGTTTGTGAAGATCAATTTCACATAGTGCTGATGATTAAAATCTATTATCCATGAATAACAATAGTCACTTCCTGTCAGAAATGGATAGCCTATAGACATTATTACTGAAGCCTTTTGAACATATACTGCGTTCGTAATTATCGTTGCATTGCCCTTTTTAAAACTTGGAAACAGGTCAACAGCATCTGAAGGAAACGTATATTATCCTATATTAGGCTACTTTTATGTTTTTCTTTATTTCTATAGTCAATAAATGTAAATGAGATTTGATATTAACTAGAAATGTGTCGTCACGCCACGGATGCCCCCGCATGCAGCTAAAATTTCAAATGTTATACATGTAATAATATTTATAGTTCCAAATTTCTTTGTACAAATTTTTTTTTCATTCTAAGTTCAAACCACTTAAAATATCCAATGTTAACACGAACCATTTTTATACAAAGTTTAAGGCCATGAAATTATTCAGTTTTAACCTTGTAAATTGCATTTTGCATATTTGTAGCTGAAATAATGACTACATATATTTCCATAAATGAGAGCGGAAACTGAAAAATTCAATTTTTTCCAACTTTCAAGAGAGATAACTTGTCTAAAACCATCGAACCAGGACCACATTAAAATTTGGCCTGCTAAGATGTGTCTATATGACAAATTTCAGTTGAAAGTGTACAACTGATGGGGAGATAATGAACGGAAACTAAAACTTTCCTCTTTCTTTAAAGAGGGATAATACTGTCAGAAATCAGCAAACAAAGACTAAATTTTAACTTGGCCCGTGCATTCCTTTGACGTATCGATATATTCAATTTGAGTTGTATATGTACAACTGTTGGAAAGATAATGAACGGAAACTGAAAATTTCTTTTTTTCAAAGTGAAAGGGGCATCACTTTGCCAAAAATTATCGAACTATGACCAAATTTAAACTTTACCTGCGCATTCCTTTTACGTATCTATACCTCAAATTTGAGTTGAATGCGTATTACTGTTGGGGAGAAATGAACGGAAACTGAAAATTTCACCAAGGGTCATAATTCTGTCAAAAAACATTGGACTATAATCAAATTCGAACTTAGCTTGCATTTTCACATGATATGTCCATATGTAAAATTTGAATTTAAATGTGTGCAAACGTAACTAAGTTAAGAATGGAAACTGATAATGACAGAATAACGGGAGGATGGAATAACGGAACGGGATAACACTATATGCCCAAGCCATTTTATGGCGGGGGCATACAAAGAAAGTGTGTTTAGGCTTGAACTTTACTGTGAATGTTTGTTTGTAAATGTATCATAGCAACATAGTTATATGTCAATTGATAGGGTGTTTGTGGGACAAGAAAACAATATTGTAGTATCTAAATTGTTTAAAGTGATTAATATAGGGACTGAAACTACCAGTTAATCAGCCGAAGACATACTTTATGTTAAATATCATTTAATGTTTATACGGTCTTAGGTTGGTTGTATATTAGGTCTTATACATTTCCTACCAAATTATTAGCAGTGAGTGTAAAGTTTCGTGCTAAATGAAACAACGTCTTTTAAAGAAAAATCAGGAATTTAAGATTAAATATCAAGCTAGGATCTGATTACAATTAATTGTTTTATATGAAACGGAATGTCAAACACAGAATAAGGAATCTAAAATGATGAAAACTCCGGAAAACAGAAGAGTTAGCGAGAGCGATGAAACAAAATATCAATAATGAATATTGCAGACTCAGTTGGTTTGTGTCTAATGATGAGTTGTAATAAAAGGTGTAATATCTCTCAGGGCACAAGCATTGAGTTTACTTTTTTTATTCCAAGCTATAAACTTATAAGGGTCAATGATACCGAGGGACGACACAAATAGAGCAACACTTAAAAAACAAGAATAGCACGATTTAAAGCTGCAACACATCCGGAACTTCCATTATAAAACAGAAAAACGTTGCTAAAAATGGTGTGTGTTTATTGTTTCCACAATGTGTCAATATCTAATAAAAAGTATACGGTATGTCTAGAAGGCAAATGGCTTTAAGATATCAAGGCCCTATTTATTTTTTAGTTACGTATCTCTTTTTTATCCGATTTTTGTTTGAAAATATCTGACTTATCGTGCACGTTTTACCTGTTAAATGTTTAATGTAAATATGTGTTGAGTTCTTGTTTGGTTCAATCTGTGGCGAGTCATTTTTGCCATAGTCGTCATAATTTCGATGAGTAATCTAAGGTCGTATCATCTTTATGTTCGTTGAAATAGTTACTAGACGAATAATCATTTGATAAGTGAAATCTGCACCGTCCCCGAGCTTTCGTCGGTGTGTTCATCACTGACAGGTGTTCTTATTTTGTGGACACATTTCGGCGAAATTGGTATACGTGTAATATAAAAATGGCACTGATTGCAATGCGAATGAATGACCGACAGCCTATATCCCTGTGTTTATAAAGTCTCTTTAGCTTATTTAAAGAGCAAAACGGACAATTTATAAGTTTTTTGTTGTTGTCTTTTGTATTGTTGTTTTGTTTGTTGTTTTGTATGTTTGTTTATTTGGTTAGGTTTTGTAAATGTTATAATTTGATTTTGTTATGTAAATATCATATTCACTTCATAGACATACAGTCCTCTTAACTTTTCTTATATTTACTCGAGTATACCAATCACATTTTCGTACGTCCTAAATATCTCAATACAGCACTTGCTCAACAGCTTTATTTAGTATCATAGGAAATGTATTCGTACTAAATGTGAGTCAAACGAATTGGGAATACAGAACAGGTCTACTTATTATGGGTAAACCGTTGATTTTGAGAAATTTAAAGAAAGATATATGAAAAGGAATATGAATACCTGAATGTTTACACCCATGAATTTCAAATTGAAGACATATTTCTTCCGCCTCGTCACTTTCATTAAATTCCAACTTGATCAAACGTGCAGTAACTGGGGTTTGAAGCAAAAATGATCTATGCGTGCGAGACGTTGATTGGTCAAAATCAGTTTTCAGCTATAAAATAAAGCATACAATGCGAAGCAGTAATGCATACGTAGACACATTGATGCATGTGTAAGTAATTAGATTGTCCGTCAGAACTTTTATAAAATAC